AAAAAAAAAAAAAAAAAAGACTAATGGTGGATATTATGAGAACTATCTTTCAATTTAACACAGCCAATAGATTTCTTCAACAATAAATCTGTGTTTGGGTAAAGGTACACTTTCTTGTAAAATAGGGATGAAGATTGTACACTAATCTCAGATAAATTATATACATGTACATACATGCCCACATATATATACGTGTGTGCACGTGTATTATTACTAATAATATTCATGAAATTATTTTGTGTGATTTTTAAAATTAAACCTTTTCCCCCCAGCACCCTCCGCCCCCACCCTGCCCAGTTTTCATGTTGTTTGTGGAAAACCAGTCTCTGATACGGTATTATTTTCTTATGGATCAAAAATCTTTTTTCTGAGCACTTAACATAGCAAATCTTTCAGTTATCTAAGTACGTTAATTAGCTGAGGTTATACTTTACCTTTTCTCTTCATATTCTTTCCTAGGATGATTTTAGTACTTCTTTGAGCAAAGGAGGAGGAGGATGACCAAAACTAGAAATCACTTAAAATTAGTGTAGTACAAAATGCATGTCAGGTTTATTATTTTGGGTGTGTCTTATGGTGATCTGCATGCATAATTGAAAAATGAAGTTCAATTTATTGTTTGATAGACATCTTTAATTCTCTTTTAGTGGCAAAATGAATACAAGCCGTTTTTTGCAGTTTCTTTATATTCTGGTTCTTTCGTCTACTGTATGGCCTTTCCCTTCCTTGGCATCCTCTGTTCAGAAGTAGGATAATGAGTTTTCCTTTCCTAATTTTTTGTGATTGTTTAATGGTGAAATGCTATTTTATGTAAGTGACTTTGAAGTCTTTTAATACACACTGATGAGCAGGGACATGGTAGTGTCTCCATTCAGCCTGGCTATTATATGTCAGGTAATAGATACTAAATTTCACTACTAAGAAAAAAAGCCCTGTGTAACTTATTAAATCATATATTTAATGTATAATAATATATTAAGCATAACTTAATATATAAATCTGATCAGATGATTATTTTGTGGGAGGCCCCTACTTAAATTGTATGTTAAAAGAAGCAATGTAGATTTTCCTGTAGATGTCAGATGACTTGTCCCCTAATGGTAGGTCGCATTGGAAGATCTCTGAGACCTGTTGTCAGAGAAGGGAGGAAGTTACTTGTTTATACTCATTGTTTCCTACTGGTGAATGACTGTGCAGGGATTCTTTTTCACTCCTACTTATTTGTTGATCTTTAAAAAGCTACATAATCTTATATTTGTAAGGTTTTGGCAAGTAGGAGTTCCTGTTTAGGCTATTCTATTAAAAGAGATACAGTTTTGGAGAGCAGTCCCAGCCATTTATTATTCTATACCATAATAGTTCTCTGTAATAATTTTAAGAACAATAATTTACCATTTATCACATACTGATGCTGTTGGCATTTTACTTTTAAATATTAGAATGAGGCCGGGCGCGGTGGCTCAAGCCTGTAATCCCAGCACTTTGGGAGGCCGAGGCGGGTGGATCACAAGGTCAAGAGATCGAGACCATCCTGGTCAACATGGTGAAACCCCGTCTCTAC